CTGCTTCTTCTTTCCTTTAAGGACCCTGTGCTACACTGCGCTCGCCCCAGGGGCCCAGGATCATCTTGCCTTCTTGGAGTCAATTGATTAGCAATTTGATCTCTAACCTCCCGCTGCCCTGTGTGTCAACCCAGCTGGCCCCAAAAAACTGAGGATGGTTCACTTAGGATTTTTCAACTTGATGATAGTTGGCTGCTCGCATAATTCTGACCAACTGTGTGGCTGGGACAGGAGAGGAACTGTGTTAGTCACTTTCCTGTCACTGGGACACAGTAACCACATCCACGACTGGAAGCAGCGGAGGTTTCTTTTGCTCAGGATTCAGGGGATATGGTCCCTGCTCAGCTGGGGTGGTGGGCAGGGCCCAGCTGCCCCCTGCTGTACATGGGGGCTGGAAGCAGAGAGAGAGAGACAGACAGACAGACAGACAGACAGACAGGCAGAAACAGAGAAGCAGAGACAGAGAGAGATGAACCAGGAGGGTGCACCTCCCAGGCCCCGCCTCTGAACCCTGGAAGCTTTGGAGGATGTCCGGGTGCAAACCAAGACCTGGGTGCTGCCCAGGGAGCCCGAAGTGAAGGGGGCTATGGTGAAAGCCAGTGTCCTTCCTGTGTCCCCTTGTCCTGCCCACTCCCTGGGTGACCTCAGCAGACTTCTTAACCTTCCTGGCCTCCCAACTGCCTGGTCTTTGGGACCCTCCTGTCCAGCCCAGCCTCTGTCCGTGTGAGGAGCTGATTCTCACTGTCTTGGTCACCTGCTGTGTGACCTCAGTGCATCTCTTCTCATTCTGAGAAATGGGAATCAAGGTTCCAGTGACTCTTGTGCTGTGGTTGTGCCCAGCTGGGTGGAGACCTAGGGACCTGAACCAGCAGTCCTAGGTCAGTAGTGGAGGCTCAGCGTCCAGTTCCTGAGGCTGTGGGTTGCTACCCACTAAGGCCAGGCTCTGAGGCCTGGCTGGGGTTTGGCTCTGGTGATGCCAGCTTTGTGTGTGTATGTGTGTGTAGGGGGGATTGAGTCTGCCTCTGCCAGCATCCTGCATTGTTGGCAAGGCCGGGAAAGTGCCTTCTTTACAATGGGAAACTTCATCCCGGTACTGAGGAAGGCTGAGGCAGGAAGATTGCAAGTTGGAGCCCAAGGTGGGCTATTTAGTGAGACATTATCTCCAAGTAAGGGACAGGATATGTAGGTCAGTGGGAAGGCACTGGATTCACCCTCCAGTACTGCAAAGAACACAAAAAATAAACAATGGGAAACTTTGGCCCTAGCTTAGGGAGAGTGGGGCGGTGAGGACTGTGGGAGTGGTGGAAGCCCCCCACCTCCTGGCCATGGCTGAGAGCAAAGCTGGTAGTTGGCACTGGCCCTTGGGGGGGTCCGCCTTCCCTCCACCTGAGTGTGAGTACAGCTGTCTACATTTTCTGACACACCTTCTCCCCCCCGGAACCAGTGTCTCTCCCAGCTCAATGGGAGCTGAGGTGTCCCTGCTGGCCATCAGGCCACTGATGCTCTTGGGACCAGGGACCTCAGTGGGACCCACCCTACCCCCTTTCTCTCCAGGTTCCCCACACCTCTGCTTCTGGGCTTGTGGTGTTTGCAGAACCCAGGAGCTTCCTGCTGGGCCTGGGTGACCCCAGTGACAGGGTAAGCTAGTGAGCAGAGGGCATGGTGGGGACCATGGCTCAGGCAGACAGGCACCGTTTCCTGCTCTCCTTGGCCTGGGGCAGTTGGCAGGAGACTCACATGAGGGGCCATCCCTGTCCTGCCCACTGCTTGTCCTGGATGTGGGGGTTATGGGGACATTAGGGTCACCACTGGTGACCTAAGTCAAGCTGCTCAAGTTCCCAAGCCTCAGTCAAGTGCAGTCAGGGTGGCCCTTCCTCCACACTGCAGGGGACAGTGTGGGGCTGGGGCAGGTCACTGTGCAGGTTGTGGGTGAGGCATTGGGGTGTCTGGTGGAGCAGGCTGGAGAGCCCACATCTGTCCCTCAGAAGGCCCACCATTGGCTTGGGGCGCCTAGCCTGAGAGCATCTATGGGTCCACTCTAGGGCTTATCCCCAACTCTTGTGGGAGGAGTGGGCCCATTTTCTCACTTCTCTCTGTCTTTTTTGTTTGGTTTTGGTTTTTTGAGACAAGGTCTCACTCTGCAGTTCAGGATGGCCCTGAATTCACTACATAGCCCAGGTTGAGCTTAGATTTTCATTGGCAATCCTCCCGTCTCAGCCTCTTTAGTGCTGGGATTACAGATGTATGCCACCATGTCTGCCTGATTTACCTTTCAGTAAACAAAATGATCAAAGCATTTTAAGCACTGCAAAGAAGGAAGAAATGAGACACATTTAGTGTTTATGGAGATGCCCCACGGGACAGGCCACAAACTTTCAAACAGAAAGGCAGCCCGGTTACCCCAGCCATCCCAGTGCCCTCTTCCCACAAACCTATTGTCACCCAGGATGGCACAATGCCATCCCCACTGGGGGCCAGCAGAGCCCATGCCCACTATGCCCCATGTCCAGCCCCAGTGAGGCACCTCCATTTCCATGGGCCAGGCTGCCCACATGTGTGGGAAACGTGGGGGCACCCTGGCTCCCAGGAACCCAGACTCCTCTACATCTCAGGGAGCCCGACCTGACCTCCGGCTCACCTGGGCCTCTGCGTCTGCTGAATGTCTCTGACTCATCGTCTGCAGCTGGCTCTGTCCACGTGCAGCCCTTGCTGATGTGGCCCCTCCACCTCCTGCTGTCCCCAAAGCCTCTCCCTGAGGGTGACTACACATGTCCCACCTGGTCTTTTCCGGCCTCTGCACGTGCACCCCCATTTCAACCTGCACCTCCCCCATTCCTGTCCCACAGTGCTGCACCCCAGATCCCTGTGGTCCCATGTGTGTTCTCTAAGGCTTGTGCTTTTGGCCATGGCCGCTGGGCTGGGGCTTTGCCTGCTGGGCCTCTGGGCACTGCTGGGATCCCTGCTGGCTGGTGGGGGCTAGAAGGATGCCAGGATTGCTGCTGTCAGTGGCCGGCAGCTACGTCCCTGATCTCCAGGTGTGGCCCTGCTTCCTGGTGGCCGCCTCCCAGGGCGTGCGCCCGCCTGAGCCGAAGATGGGTTTCTCACTGCCCTGTTTGGCACCTGTCCCAGCAAAGGGGTGCCCCCTGGCAGAGATTGGGGGCCTTGTGTGTCTCCCACCCCCGGAAGCTGAAAAGGAAACCTGAGTATGGTGGCTCCTTTGCAGGAAGTGGCAGTGCCTGTGACACAAAGGGGGCCCGTTGGTGTGAAGGGCGCCCACCCGGGTCCCCAGAGGGTGACTGCATGCAGATTGCAGAGGCTGACAGTGCCTGGACCCTGCATGTTCCTGGGCGTCTCTGTTCTCTGTGCCCCATGAAACAGCCCAACTTGCGTCCCATTTAGAGGGGTGAACCTGTGTCCCTGCTGATCCCGGCCCTGTCATCCCTGGCCCAAGATCCTGCAGCCTTTCATAACCAGGGTTTGAACCTTGGGTTGAAAGAGATGCAGCAGTGTTCCCCCACTGTCAGATGCAGTGTGGCCCAGAGCCAAGTTGTCCCCCTTCCTCCATCCCCTGGGGCGCTCAGGCGCCCCCCTTCCTCCACCCCCTGAATGTGGCTGAGTCACAGAGGGGCCACGGCGTCCTCCCCTCCTCCTGTCACATTCTTCTGCCCTTGTCTGTTCTGGGCGCCTGGGGCAGGGCTGCTTCCACTCAGTCCCCTCCCGTCCCCCAACTGGGGTGGCCAGGCCTGGCTGAATGGTGCCTTGGTTTCCTCTCAACAGCTCTTTGCTGTCCTTTGTCAGTCTCAGCAAGCGGGCACCGTCCCCAGAGGCCAGAGTCTCACAAATGTTATTCCAGGCCCAGGCTTGTTGGAGGGAGGGGGTCAGCCCTGTGCTGTTCTGGTGCTGCCGGTCTTTCTGTGTTTCCAGTGTCTTCTGGTGGATGGCTGCCATCTCCTCAGGGGCCTGCAAAGGACATCGAGGCCACGTTCCTGCAAAGCCCAGCATCCAGCCATAATTTCAGCATGATGGGAGGCTGAGGCAGGAGGATCATAAGCTCTTGATTTGAAATAAAAAATAAAAAGGGCTGGGGTGTAGCTCAGAGCAAAGGCTCTGGATTCCATCCCCAGTACTGAAAGAAAGAGAGAAAAAAGAAGGGAGGAGGTGAAGGAAGAAAAAAGGAAGGAAGGAAGGAAGGAAGGAAGAAAGGGGCCTGGCAGGCTGGGTATGGTTGCACATACCTGCAAGTCCAGCATGTAGGTAACTACATGCCAGGAGGCAGGAGAATTGCCAAAATTTCAGTGCCAGCCTGGGCTACATTACAAGACCCTGCTCAAAAAAAAAAAGCCTGGCATACATTAAGCTCGTGGAGGTCCAGGAGGGCACCCGTGGCAGTGTCCCCTGAAGGAATGTCCCTGGGGACTTGCGGCCCTCGTGGACTTGGTCCCTTGCACTGCCCTCCTGGGGATTTCTGAATCAAAGGCACCAGGCCAAGGCTTGATCCTCAGAGCAGAGACGCAGCACCATCTGAGGGTCCTTTGAGCTCCCAGGAGGCAGGATACAGAGCGCGGAGGAGAGGAATCCCCTCCTTGGCTTAGCCTGTGTTCTAAGGTCTCCAAGGGCCACAGGTCCTGGGTGGCTTCCTGGAGGAGGGAGTGTTGGGTATAAAAGGAGGTGGCAAAGACCAGGAGCACTAGGAAGGCAGGAAGTGTCTGGTTGGGGTGACATCTAGAATCAGCAGGGACACAGCTGTCATCCTCATCTCTGCTTTGGGGCACCTGGCTAGAGTGGGCACCGGAGTAGCCAGGGCTGGTAGCCAGCAGACTGAGCCCCTCCATCCCATGCATTTGGCTGCCCGGTGCCTGCCTTTCCCACACTGGATGGGAGGACTGCAGTCCCGCCCCTCAGGGTTGGGGCACTGGGATCCCTCGGCTGTGTCAACAGTGGGGTGTGCTGTCCCTGCTGCTGGGGCTGCACCTCACCATGCCTCTGTCCCCTATCCACAGGTGCGTGAAGATGGCTGAGAGGATGTGACCTGTGCCCATCCACTCGTCACCGGCGCCATCATGCAGAAGCCCAGTGGCCTGAAGCCCCCAGGCCGAGGGGGCAAACACTCCAGCCCCATGGGCAGGACGTCCACTGGGTCAGTCTCAGGCTCAGCCACAGTGGCAACTACTGGCTCCAAGGAAGGTGCGTGGGGACAGGGCAGAGAGATGGGGCTGCCTGGGGACAAGGGTTCTCTGTGCCAGCCCAGAGGCCTGTGATCCACTTAAAATTCCTTTGGTTTTTTTTTTTTTTTTTTTTTTTGTATGGAGGATCAAAACCAGACCTCACCCTGAGCTACATCCCTAGTCCTTTTATTTTTTTTATTTTGAGATACACTCTCCATAAGTTGATAATTTTCCCAGGCTGGGCTTGAACTTGGTGATCCTCTTGCCTCAGCCTCCCAGAGTGCTGGGATTACTGGCATGCTTCACCACACCTGGCTGCAAATTCTTTAACAACTAGCTATAGAATAGGCATTTTTGGGCTGCTCTTTCTCTATCCCCTTCTTTCCTCCACAGCTCTGGGAAGAGGGCACCAGTGATGAGAAAGGAAGCTCCAGAGGGTTCAGGCACCTTTCTTAGGCTCACTGGCACACTGAGTTTCAGCCAGGATGCACGGTCCACCTCCCATTCAGGGTCAGGTGTTGTCTGAGGTGGGCCAGCTCCATCTTCCCACCAACCTCTGTCGCTGCCCGTGCCCTTTACTTTTGTCTTGGAGGGGGAGCAGCACAGGTGCCTGCAGCCAGGAGCAGAGCCCAGTGCCAGGCGGGAGCAGCACTGGCAGGAGGTGGAGGTGACCATGATCATAAACATAAGCCCCAGGTGAATTAGTGCAGTCCCATTCCCCAGACAGTGCCAGTCCCGCCTGCTGTCTGTAGGAATGGGTTCAGGATCCCCCTACACCCAAGATTCCGAGATTCCTCCAATGCTCAAGCCCTCCAGTAAAATGGTGCCCTGGTTCCAGGATGCTCCCCACACCACCCCAGGCTCTCTAAATCAGTCCCTGCTATATTGTAAATGTGATGCAAGTACTCATTACATTGTGTCTTAGGGAACAATGACGGAGAAGTCTGAATACAGTCTGTAGGGATGCAACTGGTTTTTGATTCTGTATGTTACTTTTTTAAAATTGAGAATATGGGAAATTAAACCCAGGGCCTTTACGCATTTTTTAAAAATGGTCTATGATTGTAGTATATATGTCTTGGTTACTTTTCTCTCAGTTGCTGAGACAAAATACTCGCCAACACCCAGTGTTAAAGAGGGAAAGGTTTATTTAGCTTGCAGTTTGTGGAGGTTTCAGTCCATTATCTGTTGGGTCTGAGGCAGGGTGGCTCATGGCAGAGGGCAACAGTTCATGGTGGTGGAAGACAGTAAAAGCAACAACAAGCAAAAAAGAAGGAGCTCAGAGAAGACTCTGTCCCTTATATTATATGTAGGCCACACCCACCCTACCATAGGTATAGCGCTCATACCCATAATTCCAGCATTGGACCATGAATTAATCACAAACTCTAGAAGCCTGCCCCATGAATGCATGAGGTTTGAGGGGACAGCTTGACACAACACATAACAGTACATAATGGTTACATTCATCCCAGGGAATTGGTACATGTACTTCAGGCTAAGCCTGAATTTGTGATCTTCCTGCTTCAGCCTCCCAGACTGTGGGGCTTATAGGTGTGTGCTTCATTTTGTCTGGCTCAGATGTATGCCCCACCCGTCTCCCCCAAGATATTTTCCATCTGTGATTCATTGATTAAATTGGCAGATATGGAACCTGCTGATACACAACGCCAACTGTATTATGATATTGGAATATTTTCTTCTACTTCTTCAGTATAAACAATTTGAAGGCTTATATTTTGCATTTTAATAAATACCATCAGATACATTTTTTCATGTCATGAGAAATTTAAGTGCCCTCTGTTTGGCTGTAAGATACTCTTGTTTATTGCCCTTTTTTTAAAAAAGACACTACATAGATTTCGCTACATAGTTCAGGCTAGGTTTTGTCTTTTTTCATTTGTTTGGTAGTGGGGATTGAATCCAAGGCCTCCATACTTCTCCAGCCCTTTAAAAATTGTTGTTATTATCAGGCAGTCTCTGTAAGTCATTAAGTTGCCCAGGAGTGCTGGGATTGCAGGCATGCTGCTGCCTGGCTCAGTGTCAGTTTGAAGCGTCTTTTTCGTGCAGTTTCTCTGCCTGGTTTCTATGAGTCTCTGCATGCTGTGGGCAGTGTCCTAGTGTTGGGGCCAAGTGGTGTTGGATATCACTTTGGGTACTACTGTGACAGTACTCGGAGGAGCCACCCAGGGACCACATAGTGGTCACATAGCTGTGCGACTGCAGGCCCAGGGTGGGAGCTGGGTGGTCTGACTGTCTGGCCCCTCCTGCAGAGAGGGGGTGTCAACGGAGCCACCTGGCTTGCTGGCCTGGGGACGCCTATAGCAAAGGTGCCCTGGCACCATTTCCCCACTCCCCACCCCCACTGCCACCTTCATGGTGGATGCCAGACCCAGGGGCTGAGAGGACGTGGTAGGAGGTTGCCTTTGTTTGGGTCCTGTCTGAGTGACCAGAGCCTGGGGGAGGGGCAGGTGACAGTGCCAGGATGCATGGCCTGGCCATTGTCCCCAGGCTGCCAGGCCTGCCATGGAGCTGGCTTTGTGCTTTGGAGCACAGGGCCCCTCCCCTGTCAAACTAGGCTTGGGAGCCCCGGGACTGTGGGGGACTTGGGAACCCTGTGTGTGGTGTGTGCTGGCATCTGCCCTGGGAAGTGGCGTGGTGGCTGCCTCCCAAAGCGTGAGCTCAGCGCTGGCCCCAGGGGTTGGTGGGGGACCGGGCTGGACTCTGCCCTGAGCCGGATACAGGGGAATATAGGCCTGGGGGATTTTGTTAAGTTTTTCAGCGCACTGAGGGTGAAACCCAGGGCTTCTCACCGAGCTACGTTCAGGTCCTTTTTAATTTTTTTTAATTTTGAGGTGGGCCCCACTAAGTTGCTCAGGCTGGACTTGACTTTGGTGCCTCCTGCCTCAGTCTAAGGGAGTACTGAGATCACAGGCCAGCGCTACCCAGTGCACCAGGAGCGTCACCCAGAGTGACCTGTCGGGGATTCGGCGCTTTCTTTCCCAGCGCGGGCCTGCAAGATCATTGGCGACCCTTGAAAGCCCGCCCCGCCCTCGCCTTCCCTGAGCACACCCCACCCTTTTCTGGGCGCAGGAGGCGGCGGACACGGAGGGAGTCCCTCCTGTGGGGCTGCGCGGTGCGGGTGGGGCGCCTGTGAGTGCCCAGACTCCGCTATTGATGGGGGGTGGTGGTGGCCGAGGCCGCGCTGCCTGCCCAGCGGCCAGCCTGGGGCTTCTCCACGGCCTGCTGGCTCTGCTCTTTCCGGGTGAGGACCCCGCCCCATGTCACCGTCCGCTGGTCCGGCTCTAGGGCGGGGAGGGGACGTGGTGCCTCAGCTGGGGCCCTCGAGGGGCGCTCGTTCCCGGGTTTAGGGAGCTCCCTGGGGGCTGCTATGGAGCCCCAGCAAAGTCTCCTCGGAGACCTGCCTGGAGCGTTTCTGGGACGTGGAGGGGCTCAGCCGGGAGGCTGCTCCGTGTTTGTGGGATATTTCCGTCTGGGGTCACCAGACGTGGAAGTCGGCCATGGGATGGAGAGGGGAGTAGGTGTGGAGAGCAGAGCCAGCTTCCTGGCTGCCTGCTTCGCGCAGTCCCAAGAGACCACTGGGACGCGGTGCTGCACGCCTGTCATCCCGGCACTTCGGGAGGCTGAGGCAGGAGTTTGCAAATTCCAGCCCAGTTGGGCCACTTAGTGATTTAAGGATATCCTGTCAAAATTTTTTTAAAAGGGCTGGGGGTGTGGGGTGCTGTTAAGTGCAGAGGTTCTGGGCTCAGATCCCAGTTCCAGGGTGTCCCAGGCTCAGTCGCAGGGCAGGGCAGGGCAGGGCTGGGCCTATGCTCGCCTAGACCAGGACACTCTCCCCTCTTCCGCTGTCATTAGCATAGCAAAGGCCCTGAGAATCCCTCCGGGAAATAGCTTCCGCTTAGGTCGAGGTGCTGTTTCTCTTACTCTAGTTTGAACGGAGAGATTGAATTTCCGTTTTCACAATAACCAGGAATGGCTAGTGGTATTGTGTTCCGTGGAGCCGGTCATGGGCCAGGTCCTGGGTAGGACCCCTCCCTGCATAGGCGGTGGAGCAGAGACAGAGCTCCTCTGGGTTGTCCTGGGTCCTGGAAAGGCCCTCACCGGTTTTTCTGAGTGATTCCTTGCCCCGTCCTTTGTCCCCATCCTCCAAGCTGACCCTGAGTGCTCTTGAACCCTGCTTTCCTGCGGGTAGCACTTGAACAACCCTTTCCCATCTGACCTGGAAAAAAACTATTCTAAAAGGCCGGGAGGGAGGGAGACTGGGACGGTGACTTGTCAACCACGTATTTGAAGCTACTTGTGATTTCAGGACACCTATATTTCTGAATCATTTCCTTGGGAAATTGGCCAATGATTACGTTTCCTTGGTTTTACTTTACTTGACTGATTGATTTTTTTTTTGTGTGTGTATACTGAGGATTGAACCTAGGGCATTTGCACTGAGCTACATCCCCAGCTCTATTTTTTATTTTTTTTGTCTTTTTCATTTTTATCGGTACTGGGGATCAAACTCACGACCGCCTGCCTGCAAGGCAGGCGCTTATGCCGCTGAGCTAAATCCCCAGCCCCTTTTATTTTTTATTTTGAGCAGGGTCTTACTAATCACTGAATTGCCTAGGTTTGGCTCAAACCTGCCATCCTCCTGCCTCAGTCTTACAGAGTGTCAGGATTACAGGCATGAGCTACCATACCTAGTTGATTACATTTTTTATTTTGAAAAAGATTTTAGCTCATGTTTATCCTACTTAATCTAGCCTGTCATGTTTATTATGTGAGCTCATCATGAGAGCTGAAATTTTTTTCTTTTTTTATGTGTTTTTGAGATGGTCTCACTATGCAGTCTGGCTGGCCTTGAGCTGGAAGGGGTTGGTGGGGGAAGGGAGCCTCTGTTTGTTTTTCCTTTACTGGGGGATTGAACCTAGGGCCTTCACACAGACTGTGCCCCCCAGATCTTTTTTTATCCCCAGGGTCTCACAGCCTTTCCCAGGCAGATCTTCCTGCCTCAGCCTCCTGAGTAGTCAGGATATCTGCCACACCTGGCTGAGAAAGGGATTCTTACTTTTTATGCAAATAAATGAAAAGGGGAGGAGGACCAGGAAGGAATGGGGTGTGGGGTGTGGGGAGAAGAGATTGAGGTTTGAGAAGTGGGAAGGACACCATGGTTGGATGCAGGGACCCCTTGCAGCTCTGCCCAGGGAGTGGGGATGGAGTTCCTGTGGCCCTGTGCTGGGTCCTGGAGACTTAGACCACTGAGGAGGAGGAGGCTTAAGTGGCTGAAAAAAGACTGCACTCTGGGGGCCTGGCATGGCAATGCACCCCTGCTCCCCCAGCACTCTGGTCCAGTGTGTCACTTCCATCCCACCCTGTGTGGGGCCCTTGCTGGACCTCGCTCTGTCCCCAGCCCTGAGAAGGTGCCCAGTGACTGGGGCCCCTGATGGCCGAGGTTTGGCAGCAATGGCAAAGGCCTGTCCCTGGGGGCCCCCATCCTAGTCCGTGGTGGGGAGACCCTGGTTCCTCCCCCAGCATAGGATGAAATCACCAGCTGCCACTCCTCCTCATGGAGTTCTTTGGCCCTTTCTGTCAAAATTCTACTTTGAACAGGAGCCACATCCTGTCTGTTCTTAGCAGCGCTGTTTGGGGAGGACCAGCTGCTCACAGGGTTTGGTCTGTGTTGCAGGGCAATGCGGTCTAGTCCCAGAGCTCTGACAGACAGGTCCCCTGGGAAGGGAAGGGATATCCAGCTGTTTCTGACCTGGCCTTTGGTGGTCTCATGAGGAGACAAGGCACCTTACTGTGCCATTGCAGGTGACCGTTGGAAGGACGGGGACACTGTCCTGTTTTCTGTGCCTTCCCAGCCTCAGCAGCTGAGGACTTTGGGGAGGGTGTGGTCCCAGGAGGCCAGAGGCCACAGTGAGGAGGAAAAATTTAGCAAAGCAACTACAGCTGGTGCCACAGGCTTGTGACCTGGATTTTAGCAGCTGTTGAAACAACTGATCCACTGGCCTGGGGTGGGCAGCAGGGAGAGATTACCTGAGGGTCCCCCTAGGTTGGCAGGGAAAGCCTGGCAGTAGCCTCTTCCGAGAATAGCTGTGCTGGTGCTCTATGCCTGAGCCCTGTTCTGTGCAGGGGACAGCGGCGTCTGTACTGCAAAGTGCTCAGGATCCCTGGGGACCCCGCCAGCCTGAGGGGGAGCCTGAATGGCTTCTGACCCTGTCTCCGATCTGATCAGTGCATGAGGTGATAAAGTACATGAAAGCTCCCAGGGTGCCTCAGGATGCAGCCAGCATTCCATAGGGGCAGCTGCTGTTCTAATGACTGCAGCTTTTGTCAGCAGTGGTGACAGGGACTTGGTGATGACAGGAGAGGGCATGGGATGAAGTGTCATCTAGTTTGTAGCCCCCTCATTATCTTAAGGAAGGAGGTGCTGAGCTCCTGAGAGGGGTGTGCAGCAGAACTCCCCAGGCTGTGGCGTGTGTGCACACCAGTGTGGCCTCAGCATTTGTGTTCCTGGCTCTCTCACAGTAGAGGCTGCCTGTGGTTCAGTGTTGTCCTAGCTCAGGACTGGCCACCAGGAGCTGTGTGCCAGCATCACTGTCAGTGCCTACATGTGGGCTTGTGTGGCCACTGCAGAGTACCTGTTTGACCTCTGGCCCCAGTGATGGCACCAGAGATTTGGCCAAGGTTACCACACTTAGAAGTCCAGACAGACTCCTTCAGATCTTGTATATTTTATCATTCTTTCTGGATCTCTTAGTTTGAGTGTAAATATCTCATCAAAACCATGGTACTGGTTTATTGTCTACTGGGATGGACTGGGCACTGTGTCCAGCACTCATGTCTGTTCTCCTAGGACAGATCTGTGGTGGAGGCACTGATGGGGAAACTGAGGCAGGGGTGTTAGATAATTTCATCAAAATTGATCGCAGTGGGGAGGGTGCAGCTGGGGGGGGAGTAAAATCTTTGCTTATTTAGCTGCTATGGCCCCTCTCTTGTAGGGTCTTCAGGGTGGGAGAGAAGCCTAAGGGGCCACCCACCCTAGATCCTTTTTTGATAGAGAGAGAGGGTGACCCTATCCTGGAAGGACCACAGTCAAACCATCCCCTGCCGTAGGGAGTTGTAAGCTTGCTTTCGAGAAATGGGTCCTTTTATGGAGTCTGGGATTTGGGGTGACAGATGAATGGGCTGGAGGTGGAGGAGTGAAAGTAATGTCCACAGGAACCAGGGGCCTTTGTCACAGCCCTGCTCTGCTGCCCCCTCCTCTGTGTGCAGCTAGGCAAAGCACCTGGTATCTCAGAGCCTGTTTTCCTCATCTGTAAAATGGGGCAGCAGAGGGACCAGTGAGCTCCTTTAAGTTACACACCTGGCACAGGGCTGGAATCCGAGGTTGCTCAGGTTCACAGCCCCACCTGGCCCCTAAGCAGGAGGCAGCCCGCCCTGCAGGGGCCTCCATCCTGCCACCCATGTCCTGGGGTGTAGGGCTCTCCTGCAGCTCTGGTTTTGAGAGCTGGCTGGCCCTGCAGGGCAGGGTCCTAGTGGAGGCCCCAAGAGAGCATCCTGTCAGTCCTGGGCTGGGGGCTGCTGGTGGAGCCCTCTGGCCTGTGAGCCCTCCTGGCGGCTCCAGGAGAGAATCAGAAACTGCATTTGAGAGGGGACATGGTTATGCTGTCTCTGCAGCACATCATGGCAGAGGAGTTTCTGCCATGGGCCAGGCCTGGCAGGAGGGTTAGTGTAGGTCGGGGACAGTGAGACTGTGTGCTGCCCAAGTGGCTCCCAGTACAGTTGGGGTCTAGACACTTGAGAGACATGAACAGTGGGCTTGAGCCCTGCTTTGCTGTGCCGGGTGACCTAGAGCAAGCTGCTTCCTGTCCTGTACCTGCAGCTTGCTGGAGCCTGGGTCTGGGCCAAAGTCCCCCTAGGAAGACCTGCACGTCTCTGAGCTTCAGGTTCCTTCTTCCTATTGGGGGTGATGGTCAGAGGACCTCTCAGGCCACTGCAGGCTTAAGTGCCTGCTCCCACCATGGGCTCTTGGGGTTGAAGAGGGGAAGGAGCTGTGGGGAGGAACAGCTGGAGCCAGACACTTTGCTCAGCACCTGGTCGTGTGCTACAGGGAGTTGAGCCTGGGAACTTCAAAGAGAGCTGCATCCCCAACCTCTGGTTTGTTTTGCTTTGTTTAGTTTTGTCATTTTAAAATTTGAGAGTGTCTTGCCCAGTTGCCCAGGCTGGGTTTAATTCATAGTCCTCCGGTCTTGGCCTCCGAGAGTGTTGGGTGACAGGTATGTGCCACCTTGCTGGCTCTGCCCAGGGCTCTGTGCCTGGGAGACTTGCACACCTTGCTCTATGAGGAGGCCACTCCTGACCTGGAACTTCCAGGGGGTTGAAGGAGTGAGGCAGGACTGGGGTGCCCAGGGGCCAACAGCAAGGAGACCTCTTCAGGAGCACTTTGCTAGCCTCCTCTGCCTCAGTTTCCCCATTATTCCAGCCCAGGCTGTGCCACCAGTTCCCAGGCTGACCCTAACTGAAGCCCCTCCTGGTCCACAGGCTCCCCGCTGCACAAGCAGGCGTCGGGCTCCCTGTCCTCCTTGACCACTGCAGCCACCACCGCCCCCGAGAAGCCAGGCCCGAAGGTGGCCGAGGTGGGCGATGACTTCCTGGGCGACTTTGTGGTGGGCGAGCGCGTGTGGGTGAATGGTGTGAAGCCAGGCGTGGTGCAGTACCTGGGCGAGACGCAGTTTGCGCCAGGCCAGTGGGCCGGGGTGGTGCTGGACGAGCCAGTGGGCAAGAACGACGGTGCGGTGGGCGGAGTGCGCTACTTCGAGTGCCCGGCGCTGCAGGGCATCTTCACGCGGCCGTCCAAGCTCACCCGGCAGCTGGTGGCCGAGGGCTCAGGTAGCGATGCCCACTCTGTTGAGTCCCTCACGGCCCAGAATCTGTCGCTGCACTCGGGCACGGCCACCCCGCCACTGGCCAGCCGTGTCCTCCCACTGCGGGACAGCGTCCTCGGCAGTGCCGTCAAGACCGGCAATGAGTCGGGCTCCAACCTCTCTGACAGCGGCTCTGTGAAGCGGGGTGACAAGGACCTGCGCCTGGGAGACCGAGTGCTGGTGAGTGGGGACCCTGGGGACCCAACCCAACAAGGGTGTGGACAGGACATTTGGTTCTCATTGGCACCATGCATGAGTGACCGGGCAGGTCGTTCGTACCAGCTTTGCCGATTGTTGCTGTGTGACCCTGGGCATATGTCTTAGCCTTTCTGGTCTGAGGCCCAGCCATAAAACAGGACTTTTTTCCCCCATTGTTGCGGATTGGACACCAGGCCTATGCATTGAGTTATATCCCTGGCTTTTCTTTTCTGTATTTCGAGATAGGATCTCACTAAGTTGTCCAGTCTGGGTTCAAACTTGCCATACTCCTGCCTCAGCCTCTGAGAGTGTGGGGATGACAGGTGTGCACCACCATGCTCAGAGCTCCTGGCCTGCGCTCGTCTGCCCTGAGGAGCCACCTGGGCCAGGTGACTTCAGCAGCTGCCACCTGGGCAGCACATCCATCCTATGCTGCCTCCAGCCCTCACCTGAGACAAGTGCCACACACTGGAAGGCCTAACCTGCCAGGAATTTACCCCCACAGCCCGGAGGCCGGAAGTCCAAAGTGGAGCTCCTTGGGAAGGCCTGGCTCTTGAAGGTCCCTGGACAAATCTGCTCTGAACCTCTCTTAGCTCTCAGCAGGGCTGTCTTGAGCTTGCAACTATGTTTTGCATCTATGCCTTTGTTGTCCTTGTCCCCAGATGTGCTGAATCAGGCACATCCTAAACATCTCATCCTTCTATATCTGTAATCCCAGCATTCGGGAGGCTGAGGCAGGAGGACTGCAAGTTCCAGCTCAGACTGATTTAGAGACCCTGCATTGAAATTAAAAGATTAAGGGCTGGGGAGGGCAACTCAGTGTGAGGGTGCTGGGTTCAATATCCAGTCCCACAGAGCAAAATAAAACAAGACTGGGAGGGGCCGAGCTCAGTGCTGTGTGGGTGAGGCCTCGTGGCTTCCTAAAAGACCTAGGCAGAACTTCCTGATCAGGATCTCGGGCAGAGAGGCTGAGGAAGGGAGAAAGAAGCCCTCTGGAGGCTGAGCCCCTTCTCCAGGCAGTGGCTGGAGAACCTTCTTGGGGAACAGGCAGTCCTCTGAACAGTCCGAGGCATTAAATATGAGCAAAACGCTGCCAAATACAGGAATAGGAACATTTATGCAGATGTGAATATTCATAGACCAAAGAGCTGTGGAAAATGTGGCCGCGGAATAGGAACTGCACAAGATTAGAAGACATGGTTCCGGAAACCTAGAACAGAGTAGAGCAAAAGAGGATGGCACAGGAGGAGGCGAGCAGAGGAGGGTGTGTCCAGCAGGTCTACCCCTGCCCGGCTGGGGGAGGAGAGAACCGGAGAAGAAAGCTGGGAATCTAGTAAGGAATCGGGGAAATTCGTCAGGATTGATGAAGGAGCCTGGGACAGAAGGTGGGGAGAGACACACACCACAGTCCTCTGTCATGAAACTGCAGACCTGGTACAAAGTTCTTGTGAGCCAGGCATGCTGGGGCACACCTGTAGGCTGAGGCAGGAAGATCCCAAGCTCAAGGTTAGCCTGGGTAACTTAGCAATTCTGCAAAACCTTATCTCAGAATAAAACATATGAAAAAGGACTGGGGATGTAGCTCAGTGTGAAGGGCCTGGGTTCAACCGCACTACTGGCTGGGTTGGGGCACTAAAGCATAGCACTGCTTGCTGTTTAGAGATGTGCACCTAAGTATCCAATAATTCCACTTAAAAAGTTTAAAGTGTTGTTTATGGGGAGAGCAGAGAGACTTCTGGGCTTTTGAAATTTTTGCAAGAATTTGATGCTTTAATATATGTATATGTATGTCTTGGCTGTAAATTTTTGACACTATTTTTGTGGTTGTATTCACACATTTTATTGTCCTACCCTTAGAGATTCTTTTTTTTCTTAATTATGGCTAAAAAAATTATAGAACCATCTGAACCATTTTTAGATCTTCAGAACTTTTTCATGTTGCAAAACTGGAATTCTGGACCCATTAAGAGTAGCTCCCTGTTTCTGCTTCCTCACTAGACCCTGGAAGCTGCCTTTAAAACCCGTTTGAAGGGGGCTGGGGATTTAGCTCAGCGGCATAAACGCCTGCCTTGCAAGCAGGCAGTCGTGGGTTCGATCCCTGGTACCGATAAAAAGGAAAAAGCCCCCCCCCAAAAAAAAACAAACCCATTTGAAGGAGAACTCTTACTGAGTTTTCCTGAAAATTCTTCCCACAGGTACAAGTGTCTAGGCTTAGAGAGGTTAGGTCATCTGCCCAAGCCCACACAGCATTTGAATACAGAGTTTGAATGCAGAGCTCAGTGTCTGTCTGCATACCTGGGTGGGGTGGACAGGCGCTGGAACCTGTGTTCTCTGGGCTATCCCCTCTGGGTCCTGATCCCCCAGGTGCATACCTTCTCTGCACCTCTGTTTTGTACTGAACCTCTGCATGTGCCGACAGGTGGGCGGCACGAAGACTGGTGTGGTGCGGTACGTGGGGGAGACGGACTTTGCCAAGGGCGAGTGGTGCGGTGTGGAGCTGGACGAGCCCCTGGGGAAGAATGATGGGGCGGTGGCAGGCACTAGGTAGGTGGCTTCTCTGGGGGGGGCGGTGTGTGTGAGGGCAACAAAGGATGTCTGGGGTACCTGTCCCTTCTCGTGGCTGTGCTGGATGGTGGGATTGTTGTGCCATGAGACTGATGAAAGCCAGAGGCCAGAGTGGCTGTTCCCAAGCTCACACAGTGGCAGGTGAATGTAGGAGCACCCTCTGTCTCCGTGTTCCCTTTCCACTCACCTGTGGCTGAGCAGGAAGGAGAGGCAGAGGCAAGAGTGGCGGAACTGCCTGTAACCCCAGTCTGCCATCAGGGGGCTGAGGGGGGATCTTGAGGTCCAGGCCAGCCTGGGCAGCTTAGGGAGATTCTGTCTCAAAAAATAAAGAAGGAACCTAGATGACACATGGAGTCATCAGTCTGTGTCCCCCTGCCCAGCCCAAGGCAGGCTTTGCAGAGGGACTTGGGTATCCTACTGCCTGTGGAGAAAGGGAATCTGGGTCCAAGAGCGGCTGAGGTGTCTGGGTCAGTGGGGCTGGGGAGCCCATGAGCCGTGTGTCCTTGCGTGTGGCTTTGCGTGTGGCTGTGTGGCCCATGAGGAGGTGGTCCAGCTCTACCACCGAGCTGGCTGTGTGATGGTGAGCAGCTGTCTAGGCCTCTGAGCCCCATTTCCTCACTGTGATGGAGGAAGTGTTGGGGGTTGTGGTAAATGTTTGCATGAGGGCCGGTGCAGCGAGTCTGGTGATTGTCCTCTCCCCTCAGACTGTGCTCAACTCCTGCCTGTCAGGCTGGGTGTGGGCAGTGGGGCCCCTGAGGTCCTGCCCTCCACCAGGCTGTGACAGAGCTGCCACCTGTTCCCTAGGTACTTCCAGTGCCCACCCAAGTTTGGCCTCTTTGCACCCATCCACAAGGTGATCCGAATCGGCTTCCCATCTACCAGCCCGGCCAAGGCCAAGAAGACTAAGCGCATGGCCATGGGCGTCTCTGCGCTCACTCACAGCCCTAGCAGCTCCTCTATCAGCTCTGTCAGCTCCGTGGCCTCCTCAGTGGGTGGCCGGCCCAGCCGCAGCGGCCTGGTAAGGGTGGCACCGGGGGCTACAGGGGTCCCTGTCTGCCCCCGGCTTGCTTGGGCTTCAGGTCATTATTGGAGGAAGAATGAACCCATGGACGTCTGTTGCTACTTTTAGGTTACTGACCTGCAACCACGCCCTTCTGGGGCATTTGGGAGGGTGGTATAGGCACAGGACATTCAGAGGGGCCATAAGGAGAGGGCCGGGTGGGCAGAGGTCCAGGAGGGGACTATACCAAAGCTCCCTGACTCACCATCAGGAGCTGTCCTTTGGGAGTGTCCCTGTGTCTCCAGTGTCCCTGTCCCTGTTGAGCTGGGTTGGTGGGGCTAGGGCAACCTGAATACTTGGGGTTGAGGTCTCCTGCTGGGTCCCTGTGGCCGAAGATCCCTGAGCTCCAGCCATGGCATCCCCGCAGCTCACGGAGACCTCGTCACGCTACACCCGCAAGATCTCGGGCACCACGGCCCTGCAGGAGGCACTGAAGGAGAAGCAGCAACACATCGAGCAGCTGCTGGCAGAGCGGGACCTGGAGCGGGCCGAGGTGGCCAAGGCCACCAGCCACATCTGTGAAGTGGAGAAGGAGATTGCACTGCTCAAGGCGCAGCATGAGCAGGTGGGAGCAGTGGGGCGCCTCGCCCTGTGTGGTCAATGGAGGGGTCCCAGTGTGCAGAGGACACTGAATGGCACCCACACCCTGCTGAAAGAGACCCTGTGCCCCTCCCTGAAGGCCCTTCTATGCATGTGCAGAGGAGCTTGGTGCTGTGGGAGGCTGAGGCAGGACAGCAAGTTGGAGCCCAGCCCATGACTTAGTGAGACCCTGTCTCATCAAATAAAAAGGGCAAGGATGTAGTTCAGTGTAGAAGCCCTGGGTTCAGCCCTCAATCCCAAAGAAAAATACCCGCCACAAGCCAGGCCCTTGGGTGTGCAGTGAGAGAGGTGCTCTTCAACGATGGCTCTTGGGCCCTTAGGTTGAGGGCAGCAGTAGCAGTTGGGTGGTGGTTCTTGGGTTTCTTGTGGGAGAGGGCTGTTGTTCATGCCCTAGGGATGCTGCCTGGCCTTGCCCTTGACTTGACCCTGCCCTGGCCCTCGGGGGCCCAGTATGTTGCAGAGGCAGAGGAAAAGCTGCAGCGGGCGCGGCTGCTGGTGGACAGCGTGCGCAAGGAGAAAGTGGACCTGTCCAATCAGCTGGAGGAGGAGCGGAGGTGTGTGCAGAGCTGTGGGCCTTGGTCCTCTCGCCTCCCAAGTGGATGGCAGGTCCCATCCTTGCTGGTGGTTGGGAAGACTCACAAGATGACAAGCTGGGCATGATGGGGCACACCTGGAATCACAGCACTCTGGGAGGCTGAGGCAGGAGGATGGCAAATTTGGGCCCAGCCTGGACAATTTAGCAGCTTAGCAAGACTCTGTCTCAAAAAAGAGGCTGGAGAGGTAGCTCAGGGTGAAGGCCCTGAGTTCAGTCCCCAGTATAACAAAAGAAACATACAAGAGTGAAGCCTTTGTATTAAACACAAGATCACTGTCCCTGGTCTGGCCAGTGGCTTGTCACAGCAGAGTACCAGATGCCCCTGGGGAGCCACTCATGGGACAAGGCCTGGTGTCCCCCCATGTGTGCCAGTTCCCTGCAGCAGCCCCTGCACAGCCCCCCAGCATGGGGTTCCCAGCCCTGTCCTGAAGCTTCATTCCCCTTCACATGCCCAGAAATGGCCCTGCACTGGGTGCTTCCCTGTTGGTCTCTACCAGACCCATCATTTGGTGAGGCAGGTGTGGCCACTGTCATGGTCACAAAGGAGAAACTGAGGCCCAGAGCAGGGAAGGGACTTGCTGAGGTGGCTGGCTCATCTTCTCACCACAGTGTCAGGCTGTGACTGTGTCCGTCTGTGTTTCTGAGGCTGCTTCTCCCTCAGGCTTCATGGTTAAATCAGGGACCCCAGGAACCATGGAAAGATGCCCATGGGACACCGTGGGGCCCAGGATATGGGGGACTCTGGCCTGACCCAGGCTGGGGGCACCTAGTGGGACAGAGCGTCCTGACTATCCAGACCACATGCAGCTTCTGGTGTCTTCCTCTCCCCACACTGGCCCGGCCCCTGCTCACCCCCCTTCTTGAATTTAGGGGGCAAATTTAGGGGTTTAGGGTGCTCTGCCGAGCGTGGCCCCCAGACTGCTGTTACCGTCCGGCTCAGGGACATAGGTTTTATTTATATCTGCCTGAGCCCACACATCTGGTTCCCATGGTGACACAGCCGCTGCCAACAAACAGTTCTTTAAGACAGTGTGGGAGTTGTGTTCAGGAAGGGCCTGGGTGCAAGTGCCACCTATTGCCCTGGTCTTGCTGGGGGACCTTGGACAGGCTGCTGGCCCTCTCTGGGCCTGGCCATGTTTTCTTATGGATATACTGCAAGATGTGGGGAGGCCTCAGAACAGCTTTGAAAATATATCCTGGCAACAGAGTCTAGTGCTTTTGTCCCTAAGCCACTGTCCTTTATTCCCCACGCCCACCCTGGGGGAAGAAGAGGGTCCTGCTGAGAGTATGGGTAGGAAGGTGGGGATCTGGAGGCTTCCAGAAGGCCCTGCCCCTTCAATCACAGGACTTGGGGAGGGTCCTGCTCTGCTGGGCCAATCCCCTCTATGTGGTCACCTTTAGAGCACCTACTCAGCCCCATCTCCCCTGCAGGAAGGTGGAGGACCTGCAGTTCCGGGTGGAGGAGGAGTCCATCACCAAGGGAGACCTGGAGGTAACCAGGGGCGGGGCTCGTGCTGCATCCCAGGCCCACTTGCCACACACATGGCTGTGAGGTCCAGGTGGTCAGTCTGGGGTCAAAGGTCACACTTGGGGAGCATAGGGGAGAGGGAAGGGGACCGGCAATTGTCACAGGCTTTGCTTGGGAGCACAGAGGGGCCCTGTGTCGGGGGCTGGGGAAGGGACAAGGTGGATGTGGGGCAGTAAGGACACAGTGCTGGCTTAGAGGATATAGTTGCTGGGCTCCCTGTCCCTTCTGCTCCTAAAGGTATCCCTTGGGCCTTGCTTCACCTGTTCTCCAGGTCTAATGTGGTTGGAAGTAGCTGGGGAGTCACAGAGGTTATAGATGGGACAGCTGAGGCTTAGGAAGACAAGATCACCAGAGTCCTGGGCCAGCTAACAGCCTCAGGGACCAGGGACTGGACTTCTTGTTCTTGATTTAGCCATAGGCTACTTCATGCCAGAGCCCTTGGGTTCTGTCACTGCACACATGGGGCTGGCACAGTGGGGACCCTCCCCTCTCTGTCCTGAGCACCCTTCTGAGCCAGGGGCTGGAGTGCCCTAAGTGGCTCTTGAAACTGTCCCCAACTATGCAGAGACCACAAGATATCTTCCTGCTGAGGTCCTTGATACTCCTGGGAGATGCTATAGGTTGAGGACACCCTGAGTTCTTGATGGGGCAGAGGACAGTGAGGTCTGTTGGTCCTCACACTCTGGTTCTAGTCCCAGGAGGCCTTGGGCAGCCTCTTCTCTTCCCTTGACCTGTTTCCTCACCTGTAATAAGAAAAGGTTGAACCTTAGCAGGTCTGGCTAGCAGATCTGGGTGGGACCCAGGAATCTGCATTTCTACCAAGCGCCCTGGTGACTGCCTCTGGGACCACTTTAGGAGGTCACCATAGTAGATCATTTCTGGGCTCAGATCAGAATCTGTAGTTTCTGACACTGAGAGCCACAGAAAGGGCCTGCAACTTGCAGTTCTCCACTGGCGGGTGTTCTGTCCCTGGAGGCCCTGGTGTGGGAGAGGCTGCCCAGGGAGGGATGTGGAGCTGCCTAGGGTCCTTCCTGCTGCTTCCATTGTGGCAGGAGGTTCTGATGCCACATGCAGGGCCTCAGGCTGGTGCAGACTCTTCTGGTTTACGTGTCCATTGTAGCCAAAGAGACAGGTCATATGTTTGTCTGCAGGCTTTCTAATGGGCAGCCGGTCTCCTGCAGGGGCCAGGTGGGCTTCCAGGTAGTTGCCAGAACCATCCCTTCCCACCAGCGCAGTCTACAGCTCCACAAGGCAGGGGATTCAGCAACAGTACCAGGAGCCCCACATGCCTCTTTCCCTCCCTCCAGGCCTTCTTTGTCTGGTCTGTGTGTCTGTCTGTCTGTCTCCCTGTCTCCTAACATCTTCGCATATAGAACTCCTTTCTTTAGGCAGCCTAGGAACCATTACCCATCACTTACCAGTTATCCTCATGAGTGAATCTGATTGGTTCTGGGCCAACCAGTGGGCTGTCTGGTTCTGGGTCAGGTGTCCACCCTGATCCAATCAGGTCTGACTGGGAGAGGCAGGAGGTGGGACATCCTGTGACAGCTAATTCATCCTGAAGGGCCATTTTATTGTACAAACCTAATTGAGACCTTATTCATGGCAACCAGGAAGCAAATCGATCCTAAGTGTTGCTTATCTCCACCTATCGTAAAGTCAAAATTATAGAACAGAACTGCTTCTTGACTTTCTGGGTCCCTTGGGCTATACCAGTCCATCTCTTGATGATCTCACAGCAAAACTTAACTGTGACCCACTTGTCCTCCCTCCCATCAACACTGGCTGTCCCTGTCCCACCTTCTCAGCCTCCATGGCTGGCATTACTCACTTCCTGGCCTCTGAGTGCTGGGCCCTGTAGCCTCTTGTCCACACTTACCTGGTGGGCATTCATCCAGTCTGTGGTTTCCAGTGTACATCAGTGAACCTCGTGGAGGCCAGGGCCACCCTCAACCCTGCTCTGGCGAGCAGCTGAAAACAACCCACATTTCTGCTGCCATGGTTCTAGACATCAGAATCTGAAATCCAGATGTTGCTGGACAGGGCTGGTATCATGTGGCATCTGAGGGAGAATCTGTCCCTGTTTCTGGAAAGATCACCAGTGGTGTTGGTGTTCCTAAGCTTCTAGGTGTTCTAAGCTTCTAGGTGTTCCTAAGCTTCATGCCATCTGCTGCTGCCTGCTTGAGGCCACCTGACAACTTTTCCCGTGTCTGCTCCCATGGCGGCCTTGTATGCATACCAGTTCTGGGATTTAGGGTCCACACTACCACATTGTGACATCCTTCTCACACGGGAGCATAGAGCCTTTTCCCAGCTACATCCTATTCCAAGATCCTGTGTGGGTGTGAAATGTAGGGTGCCACTGAGTACACTGTGGTGTCCCAGGCACAGTATGTCTTAGCCACATCTCTGTTCCCCATTCCTTGTCCTTGGCTTCATCCCTTCTGGTTCCCGTCTGTGGGACTGGCTAGAACTCATCGAGAATTGTCTTCCTTTACTTGCCCATCAGAAAGCCTCTTGATCCCACTCCAAAGGGATCTCCATTGCCACTGCTACCTCCCTGGGCCATTCTGGCGGCCCCTGCCTGGCCCTCTCGCCCTCTTCGCTCCTCAGTGTCTTCCCCACACTGAAGCCAGATAGGTCTTTTTAAAAATAGCTTCATAAATGTATAATGTTGGAAAGATTGAAACCCACAGAGAAACAGAGGGACCGCCTGAGGAACTCCCATGTACCACCCAGCTTCAGCGAGGGTCAGCTCGTGGCTGACCTTGGCTCAGCTACCTTCAGTTGCTGCCCCCTGTTGAGTCCTAGGCTTCTTGTGATCAGAGCTTTTAAAAACAGAAATGAGAGCCAGGTGGGGTGGGGCTCACCTGTCACCCCAGCACTCTGGGTGGCTGAAGCAGCAAGAGATAGAAAGTTTGAGCCCAGCCTAGGTGACTTAGCGATTTGGCAAGACCTTGTCTCAAAAAATATAAAAGGCTGGCAGTATAGCTCAGTGCAGAGACCCGGGTTCAATTCCCAGGGTCACAGGAAGAAAGGGAGGAAGGGAAGGAGAGAAGGAAGGAGGGAAACCTAAGAACATCTGTCTGGTCTGGCGGCCTCCCTCCCAGCTCACATGAGCAGGGCCATGACTCTGAGGAACACCCAGGCCTTGTACAGTGGCCCAGAGGGCTCAAACCCTTCCCTGTCCAGCCCCCTCATACCCATCCTCGCCCCTTCTTTGTGACACTGCAGAATGGCTTCTTCCCTGACACTGTGTCCTGCCTCTTTACCCTCTGCACCTGCCGGCCTCCTGCCCCAAACCCCTGCTGTGTAGGGGTGGACAGCTCTTCTTCCCTGCTGCAGGGTTGCCGGAGATCTCGTTTCTCTCAGCCTTTGTTCACAGCTCAAGTTGCATTCTGGATCCACTCCACTCTGCACTTACTACGTGCACCCTTCCTAGAACCTCACCCCTTGAGGGTGGGGCCCCAGTATGTCTTGGTCACCTGTGGATTCCCAGTGACAAAACATGACAGGAAGGAGATGTGCTTTTCCAAGAGGAATTTCTGGCTCACAGGCTTTTTGTAGAATTGGGACTGAACCCAAGGCCATCACACTGGGCTACATGCCCAGCTTATTTTTTATTTTGGGACCGAGTTTCACTACATTACCTAGGCTGGGCTCAAACTTGGAGTCTTCCTGCCTCAGCCTCCCAGACTGCACCACAGTGCCACACTCATTTGGGAACGTGTTTTGGGTCTTATTCTGTCATTTGGGCTTTGTGTGCTTTGTTACCTACATGGTGCCACTTTACTACTTCCCTGATATAGGAAAACCCATTTTACCAGGACAAACCTGTTTTATGAACTAGAATCAACTGTTCGTTGAAAACTGAAAGTGAGTAAAACCTTAGGGTAGCCAAGGGGTGTGTGATATGTCTCTGTCCTTCAGGAGCCTCCAGTGTCATGAGGACACGCCTGTCGTTAATAAAATAAGCTCCAGCTGGGCATGGTGGCACACACCTGTAATTCCAGCATTCAAGAAAATGAGGCAGGAGGATTGCCAAGAGTCTGAGGCTAGCCTGAACTACACACTGAGACCCTGTCTCAAAAAACCCCACACAAGTTAATTAATAATTAACTAATTAAACATAAGCAAGACCTTGTGCCGGGCACAATGGTACATGCCTGTGACCCCAGCTACTGGAGAGGCTGAGATAGGAGAATAACAGTTCATGGCCAGCCTGGGCAATTTAGCAAGACCTGTCTCAAGAAAACAACAGAACACATACTAGCCACTGAACTACATGTGGTGGCTCGTGCCTGTAATCCCAGGTATTGGGAGGCTGAGACAGGAAGATCACATGTTCAAGACCAGTCTAAAGAAAGACATTTTTTTCCAATGGACGGGGAGATAGCTCAGTGGTAGAGCACTGGCCTAACAGATGGGAGACCCCGGACCTTTTCCCTAGTACACACACTCCAGCCCTTGGTTACCTGACAGGTGTCCCCAGGCAGTTAGTTGCTCTGTGCTGCAGAAAAGGGGCAGACACCATGAGAATGAAGAGATGGGAAAGAGCTGCCTGCCAAGGGTGCAGGCAAGGCTTGATCCAGCCACTAGGATTTGCACTGGGGCTATAAAACGAGGAGTCCCCCTTCCCCCTTTCAAAGCTTACTTGCAGGAGGTGTGTGGACTCAGGCTGAGCGGAGAAAGCACCTCTTCCAGGATGTGGAAGAGTCCATCCTGGGTCTCGCTCTTCCTGAAACTGTGGGACATTTCGAGCCTTTGGTTTTCCCTTGTTGGACCAACCGATCTTCTCTGAGCTGTGCTGGACTTTCCTTGTTCTTTACTGCAGTGTTTTTAGGAGGGAAAAAAAAAATCAAGAAATAAGTCCATAGACCAAACAACATTAACATCACTTAGCTCTTTATGACCTGCAAGCATAGTACAGTTGTCTCTGTGCCTTGGTGTCCTGAGGAATTGGTTCCGTGACCCCCTAGATCCCAGAATCCTTGGAATGAATAGACCTTGGGTAAACAGCTTCATGCTGTGTTCTTTAGGGATAACAACAAGGACAAAATTCCAGCTGCACTCAGCAGAGACGCAATTTTCTTTTAACATTTTCCCTCTGCTGTTGATGAAATCCGGGGATGTGGGACCCAGGGATATGGGTGTTGTGCCTCAGTTTACCACATCTTCATAGAGTGTCCAGCCCCAAGATGACCCCATTTTCCAAGCTGGGAGTACCCGGGCAGGGTCCTCTTGTCTTCCAGAGCTTGTCCTGGGCAGGGGCGGATGCCAGCACGGACACCCTGAGAATGGGGGGCTTTGTTAGAGATGAAGCAGGCGTTGTGATGTGGGGACAAAAGTGCCCTTGTGCTCGCTGGAGACCAGGCAGTCTCTGCAGTGCCCGAGGTGGGTGGGCAGCGACAGAGCCCGGCTCTGACCAGGGTGGTGGAAAGCTCAAGATGGCCTCGGTTTCTGTTTGAAAATCTTCCATTCCCTGGGTTCTTCCTGTCCTGTGCAGGCCTGGCAGGTCAGGAGTTGGGGGATCCTTTATCTCTCCCTTCCCACTGGGGCCCCGGCCTGTGTCTAAAATGAGCTCCCCGAAGGGCTGCAGGAGGAGCCTGGGAGCGGAGGGAGAAATCGGGGTGCCCATCGCCGCCCCAGTGCGAGCTCTGAGGAGGGGTTCCCGTAACTCCCCCTTCCTCCCATGCTCTCCAACCCCAGACGCCTCTCTTTCCCAAGTGATTCTGGCTCGGTGACCCTCTCTCTAGTCTGGTGCACTGAAGATGACGCCTCCTCTTTCTCTCTCCCTCTCCCTCTTTCCGTCTCCGGCTCCCTCTTCCCCGTGCCCCTCCCCACGTCCCCTGCCCGTCCTGCGGGCGGAGCAGACCCAGACACAGCTGGAGCATGCGCGCATTGGGGAGCTGGAGCAGAGCCTGCTACTGGAGAAGGCGCAGGCGGAGCGGCTGCTCCGAGAATTGGCGGACAACAGGGTAACGCGCCCGCAGCCGCCCGTGCGGCCCTCCCGCCCCTCGGCCTCTGTGTCATGAGTGACTCATCTTTGGCTGCTGTCATCGTTGCTTTTTTCTTTTGTGCCCCATCTAGGAGGGAAGTGGAGGTTTGGAAACACGCTCCATCGCGACGTGATGCTTATATGGGCTTACCTCTCTGGGACTTGGTGCCCCACTGCTGTGGTGGCCCTGGGGACCCTTCCCTATCTCCCTGCCATGCTTTGGTTTACTTGAAGGGGATGTCCCCAGGCACCAGGCCATCAGTCCCTGCCTCCTGAGCCTCCAGTCTGAGGAGTCTAGAAAGGGGAGGAGGATGGGACCTGCAGACCCAGGGCTCTCTTGCCCAGCAGGCCCTATCCATGGAAGCCTGAGGGCTAAGGACCTGGGCTCAGGAAATAGCTGAGACTGCCAGGTGTGGTGGTGTACGCCTGTCATCCCAGTGCTCTGGGAGGCTGAGGCAGGAGAATCACAGCCTGGGCAATTTAGTGACTTAGTGAGACCCTGTCAATAAGTAGATATATAAATAAACAGACAAATAAATGGGCTGGGATATAGCTGAGTGTGAAGACCTTGGGTTCAGTTCCAGTATTGGGGGAAAAAAAAAGGAAAAAGTGAGGCTTTGGGGAAGTTTTATGGGTGTCCTGAGTGGATGGGGTTGGGGAACCCTAGGAGACCTCTGCCCGAAGTGCGATCTCTGAGGGCCAGGCGTGGTCTGTGTCCCACACTGCCCACCCAGCACCCCTCCGTGTCCACTGCACATGCGATGAGGCTGAACCCCGCTCCCAACAGCAGGCTGTGTGGCTCCTGGCTCAGGGAGGCCACACATAGACCGCAGGAGGCAGGGATGAGCAGCCCTGTTTCAGCCTGGAGGCCACAGCGCATGAGTGGCAAGTGCCTGCCAGTGGGTTCCTAGAGACATGCGGATCTCTGGGTATGCATTGGCTGTCACCCAGGGGTTGTGTGTGCTCACACAGTGCATGCTCGTGTGCACCAAGGCTGCATATAGGAACATATCCAGCCACAGTAGCCAGACAGGAGCCCCCAGTGGAGGTGCTTTGATCTAAACTCAGTGAGATTACAGAAAAAACAAAACAACCCCAGGTGATCCTGGGTTCCAACTCAGCCTGGGCAATTTAGTGAGAGCCCGCCCTCAGAAAGGCCTGGAGATATAGCTCAGTTCAAAGACTTTGGTGTAATCCCCAGTACTGGAAAGAAAAAAATAGTTAATTAAGTCATAGTTTAATAATCACAAACAAACTCAAGTTTGTAAAAGTTTTGAAATGGTAAAGTATAGTTTCCAGATCTATGACATTGATGGGATGGGGCTGGTTTACAGACAGTGGTGCTGCCGGTGGGCTGGGTGCCTTCTGTCTACACCTCTTCTGGTTTCCTCCTTGAACTGGTTCCTTGGGACTCAGCCCATTCTGCCCAGTGCCTCACTGGAGAGAAAGCAGGAAAAATTCACTTCGGCCTCTGACCTTTAAAAAGAACACGTAGCTTAGTGGTAGAGCCTTTCCTACATTGCAAGAAATCCAGGGTTCAATCCCCAGCATTGCCGACAGTTAAAATAAAAGGATTGGCCAGCCAAGTGTGTGGTGCATACCTATAATCCCAGCTTTTAGGAGGCTGAGGCAAGAGAATTAGAAATTTTAGCCCAGCCTTGGCAATTTTGTGGTATTCTATCTCAAAATTTAAAAAAATTTTAAAAGGTCTGGGGTGGTGTGTGCCTACAGTTTCAGCACTTGGGAGGCTGAAGCAGGAGGTTCACTGTGAGTTCGAGTCCAGTCTGGGCTGCCTAGGGCAACCTGGACTATACAGCAAGACCCTGTCGCAAAAAATCAACAGAAAAAAGGACTGGGATGTAGCTGGGCCTGGGTTCCATGCCCAGCACTATAAAAATAATACCAGCTTTCGGAAAGCCAGAACCTCAAATAGGGAGTCTCTTTACCTACGGTGGCGGGAACATGTGGCTCCCGAGACTTTGGGGTGCACAAGGGTGGGAGTGGGTACTGTTCGCTGCTCCTCCCACCCTCTGCCCTCAGGGTCACTGACGCCGTGTCCCTCTCTCTGCAGCTGACCACGGTGGCCGAGAAGTCACGGGTGCTGCAGCTGGAAGAGGAGCTGAGCCTGCGGCGCGGTGAGATTGAGCAGCTGCAGCAGTGCCTGCTGCATGCTGGCCCCCCAACCGCCAATGACCCCGAGGCTGCCGAGGCTCTGCGGCTGCGGGAGCAGCTGCTGTCGGCCTCCCAGGAGCAGCAGCGAGAAAGCAGTGCACTGCGAGATAAGTATGAGGCGGCACTGAAGGCCTACCAGGCCGAGGTGGACAAGCTGCGTGCCGCTAATGACAAGTATGCGCAAGAGGTGGCCGACCTCAAGGCCAAGGTGCAGCAGGCCACCAGTGAGAACATGGGCCTCATGGACAACTGGAAGTCCAAGCTGGACTCGCTGGCCTCTGACCACCAAAAGTCCCTGGAGGACCTGAAGGCCACGTTGAACTCTGGTCCCGGTGCCCAGCAGAAGGAGATTGGGGAGCTCAAGGCCGTCCTGGAGGGCATCAAGATGGAGCACCAGCTGGAGCTGGGCAACCTGCAGGCCAAGCACGACCTGGAGACGGCCATGCACGCCAAGGAGAAGGAGGGCCTGCGGCAGAAGCTGCAGGAGGCACGAGAGGAGCTGGCTGGGCTGCGGCAGCACTGGCATGCCCAGCTTGAGGCGCAGGCTGCCCAGCATCGGCTGGAGCTGCAGGAGGCTCAAGATGGGCGCCGCGATGCCGAGCTTCGTGCGCAGGAGCTGGAGGGGCTGGATGTGGAGTACCGTGGCCAGGCACAGGCCATCGAGTTCCTCAAGGAGCAGATTGCACTGGCTGAGCGGAAGATGCTGGACTATGAGCGGCTGCAGCGGGCAGAGGCCCAGAGCAAGCAGGAGGCCGAGCGGTTGCGAGAGAAGCTCCTAGTCGCTGAGAATAGACTTCAGGCTGCCGAGGCCCAGTGCTCGGCACAGCACAGCCACGTAGGCACAGAGGGGTGGGAGGGCCAGGCATGTGCCTGAGTATTCCGCCTGTCCCTGGAAGTGGCCTGTGAGGATCGGGGCACCAAGCTCAGACAAGGAGCCTCTGTTCTCTGTCAGATGGGTGGCAAGCTGGGTGTGGTGGTACACACTAGCCATCCCAATCGGGAGGCTGAGGCAGGAGGATTGCAAGTTTTAAGTCCAGCCTGGGAGACTTAGCAAGACCTTGTTTTAGGATAAAAAATAAAAAGAGGGCTGAGGAGTATCTCATTGCAAAGGTCAATCCCTACTACTGGGAAAAAAGAAGGGTTGTCAAGCCCTGGTGGTGATGGAGAGGACTGAGGTGGCTATTGATGACCTGGCTGGAGAGATACGCAGTTTGGGGCATAGGCTTCCTTAGTCTCTAAGACCCTGAGTCACTCTGGCATGACCTCCAGGCAGGATCCTCCATCTCCCCAGGACCCTGCACAGATATGAGTCTGGAGAACCGCTGTGTCCTGGGTGTGGGGTCTGGAAGGTAAGACTGGAATGGCCTTGGAGAGGCCACTGCCTGCAGCACCAGCTTTTCGCCGAGCATAGAAATCCCAGTGTCTGCCCTCTTTCCTTCAGCACTGTGACTCCTCCTGGCCCCTAGGGACCCTGGGGCAACATTGGCTCCATGGCCCAGAGGGCCTTTGGTGGTGCCCTGTATCACAGTCACTCCAGGAGGTCAACATTGGCCCCAGCTGCTGGGTAAGCAGATTCTGAGGGGTGGTCCCCATGCCAGTGTCATGGAGGTACCCAACCTGTGCCTGGAGACCTGGTATGACAGAGGCAGCTGAAGGATTAGCTGCAGTGTGGCCAGTGTCTTGCCCAGTGTCCCCTGCTGCCCCTGGACAACAGGAGCTTCCTGTGCCCAGGGTTTAGTATTTGGGTCGTCAGTTTTCTGCAGCTCTGAGGCTGAACGCCTATCTGAAATTATTTATTTATTTATTTCCTAGTACTGGGGATTGAGTATACTGAGCCACGTCCCCATCCCTCTTTAAATTTATATTTCATCTTGAGACAGGTCTTATTAAATGCCTAGATTGGGCTGGAACTTGTGATCCTCCTGCTTCAGCCTCCCAGAGTCTTGGGACAAGAAGTATGTGAGCCAGCCTGTGCTGGCCTTGAGTTCCCTCCTTCCAGGCCCTGGCAGAGGAGGAATAGCAGGAGGCCCAGCCCAGCTGTGGCCCTGAAGCTGCTCATGCAGCTGGCATCTGTATCCTGGACCTCAGTTCTGTTGGCCAGGGTCATGAGCACGTCCCTTCTTGGGTGCTCCTGGGCAAGGAGTATGTAGCCACCCGTGAAGGCCCAGGCCTTGATTCCCACACACCCTGGGGCCCCCGTGTAGACCCACACATCCCCCAGATTGAGAAGCCTAGGTTGAGGGATAACTGGACTTTTCAAAGTCTTGCTATAATACGAGAGTTTAATCTCTTTCCCTTTTTTGTGTCTCTCCTCATCACTGCACTATGTATAAGAACAAGGAGGCTTTTTCTTTTTTTTTCCTCATCTTTTTGAGACAGGGTTTTGCTATGCAATTCAGGCTGGCCTTGAGCTCACTTTGTAGCCTAGGCTGGTCTCGAACTTACAATAATCCTCCTGCCTCAGTCTCCCGAGTGCTGGGATTACAGGAGTGTGCCACCATGCCCAGCTAGGAGGCTTTGTTAATTGCCAAAATATTAAGACGATAATGGGGCTTGGAATATATGAACAGAAGTATGAGGGGCAGGACAGTGCAGGTGACTACTTGCTGAGCTTGGTGCTGCCCTATGGTGCACATGGTTAGGCGGCAGCCTGCAGGCTCTGAAGGTGGTCTCAGGAGCTCCCGCCAGGAGAGTGAGGAGTCTGCTGGCTGCCTTTGCACTTACAGTGATGTTTGCCGGACTCTCCTGTCATTGGCTTCTGGGCTTGTACCCAGCAGTGCTGGGCATTTACCGGAGCTGCTATGGGGTGGCACTGGGTGTGGGCACACACCGGTGGCTCAGAGCTTTGGCACTGACCTCACTAGTGGGAACCAAGGCCAGTAGTCCTGTCCAGCCATGGCAGCAGGGCAGGGACATTGGTGTCATGCAGGAAGTGTTTTCAGCAGAGGGAAGAGGGCCAGGTGACCAGTTCCTCACATGTGGCCTTTGGGAGTCTGGGGCCCCTCTGGCCAAGGAGGTGAGGCCAGGGACCACCTGGCCCTGGTCCCTGTTGGGATGGGCAGGTGTGTGGGCCAAGACGACCTGGCTCTCACAGGGCTGTCCTTGCAGGTGATTGACTCAGATGACCTCTCGGAGGAGAAGATCAGGGTGAAGGAGACGGTGGAGGGTGAGTGGTGGGATCTGGGGCACATCTGGCTGTTGCAGTTGCCTGTCCTGGGCAGCTGTCAGGTCCCTGCAGGGGCCGTGATGGAACCAAGGGCTAGACTCTCCGAGAGGGAGCCTAATACCCAGAGCTGGTTGTAGGCACGCAGAAAGGATGCATGCTGATGCTTGCAACCTGAAGGAGGTGAGGCTGAGCTGCTGCAAGGGCCACCTCCTGGGCTTGGGGACCAGTCAGGCACCATAGGCAGACAGGGAGACAGTGCAGCCCTGAGCAGAGCCCATAGGTGTTGCAGGAGGGCCTCTTCTCATCCCCATGCAGAACATCCAGGGGAGAAGCCCAGGCCATGGCCTGGGAGTGAGAAAGGGGATGGGAATAAAGAAAGACAGAGGCAGCCCACGCCTGCCATCCCAGCACTGTGGGAGGCTGAGTCAGGAAGATCATTAATTCAATCCCGGCCTGGACAACTTGGTGACTTAGCGAGACCCTGTCTCAAAAAATAATTTTCAGCAAGGGTTGGGGATGTAGCTCAGTGTGGTAGCCATAGGCTCAGTTCCCAGAACCACAAAAAAGCCAAGCAGGATGGAGTAGCCAGAGGCTACTTATTTTTTAGTTATAAACTAGGTGTAGGGACTGGGGATGTGGCTCAGTGGTAAAAGTTCTTGCCTTTACACAAGGCCCTGAGTTTGAGTCCTCAGCACCACAAAAACAAAATGAAAATACAAATAAATGCTAGGTTTAAAAGTCAAATGCCTCAAAGGGCCTACAGTGAAGGATCAGTTCCACACTTCCTTTTTTTTGTTGTTGTTGTTGAGACAGAATCTCACTGAGTTCAGGCTGGCCTTGAACTCACTATGGAGGCACTGTTGTTGAACTCATAGGTGATCTTTGTGGCTTAGTTGTCCAGGCTGGGCTCAGACTTGAAGTCTTCCTGCCTCTTAGGGTGCTGGGATGACAGGCATGTGCCACCATACTCAACAGGCACCTTTATCAGAATCCTCTTTCTAGCACTTGAAGACGACAGTCAAGTTTCCCAAGACCATGCAGGCCGAGTCCCCAGCCCCAGGGTGGCTGCTCAGAGCTGGCAGGAGGAAGGACAGAGACCCTGGGGGCTGAGCAGGTGCCCCTGCGAGGGCTCCTGCAGCAGGGTCCCCACGACTGGGGCTGGAGTCTTGATGGATTCTCCCCAACCCCCAGGCCTGCAGGACAAGCTGAACAAGAGGGACAAAGAGGTGACAGCCTTGACGTCCCAGACCGAGGCGCTCAGGGCCCAAGTAAGTGGTAAGTCTCCCTTGTGGGGCCACAAGAGGTGTCCCTGGTCCGTCCCCACAGTCACCCACTGAGTCCCTGGACCAGAGGTCCCAGCCCAGGTTCTGAAGTCTGTTTTCTCTTGGACCACTTTTTTTTTTTTTGAGACAAGGTCTGCATAAGTCCTAAATTGCCCAGGTTGGGCACAAATTTGCGATCCTCCTGCCTCAGTCTCCTGGAGTGCTGGGATTATAGGTGTGCAGCATCACACCTAGCTCTGCCAGGCTACTTGGACACTCTATATCTGCCACCCACCTGGGTGAGGGACTGCAGAATTGGGGATGGGCACCAACCACGGCCCAGAGCGGTCACCAATTTGGACATCTGGGGAGAGGCACGGATTGTGGTGAGTGACTGTGAGACAAACCAGCCCTGCTTCTGTCTGCCAGAGGCCTGCCGTGGTGTCCTCGAGATGGCATCCTCCCCGGGGTGCCACTGCTCTCTTCTGTCATACTCTATGGCCTGAAGGCCCAGCAAGGGTCAGAGGCCCTCACCCCCTAGGGCCACGGCAGATGAGGCTCCTTCTGGTCCAGCCACCAGTGTGGATACCTTGTCCCCATCTCCAGGACCCAATGCTGGCTGTGGGCATTTTTTGTGCTTGGGTTGTCCCTAAGGACCACAGACACCCCTGAAGCTTGTAGTCCCAGCCCTGAGGAGGCTGACACAGAAAGGATTGCTTGGACTATATATTAAGACCCTGTTTCAAAAAAGACAGAGGGAGAGTGAAGGGAGGGACATGATCGAGTGTGTTGCTGTCACACACTTGGCAAAGCCAGCCCGGGCCCCTGGTGGCAGCAGGCGGCTCCCAAACCCTGAGCTTCCTGCCCTGCCCAGCGCTGGAGAGCAAGTGCAAGTCGGGGGAGAAGAAGGCGGATGCCCTGCTGAAGGAGAAGCGGCGCCTGGAGGCCGAGCTGGAGGCTGTGTCCCGCAAGACGCATGATGCCTCGGGACAGCTGCTGCTCATCAGCCAGGAGCTGCTGCGCAAGGAGCGGTGAGCAAGTGCAGAGTCCCCAGACCCCGAGACAGGTGGCTGGGTGTCCCCTCCCCAAGCCTTGCCTGAACCCGGGGGTGCTTGGCCCCTGAGCTCCACCTCTAGCTCTTACTTTTATTTTGAGATAGGGTCTTACTAAGTTGGTAAGTTGCCCAGATTGGGCTGGGACTTGCAGTCTGCCTGCCTCAGCTTCCTGATTAGCTGCGATGACAGGTGTGGGCCTGGAACCTTGTGGTCTCAGAGAGCCCTTTTGATTTCATATAAAAATTATTGTTTCTGAAAGGAGCTCTTGTCCAGTCTGCGCTGATCATGTTAGAAATTTACAATGAGAACTTTTACAGTATTTCTGAACCCATTTAAAAATAATAAGCCAACTGGGTATGGTGGTATACCTCTGTAATCCCAGCAGTTGGAAGGCTGAAGCAGGAGGATTGTCTCTAGTTCAAAGCTAACCTGGGATACATAGTGAGTTTGAGCCCTGCCTGGACTACATGGTAAGATCCTGTCTCAAAAAACAAAACAAAACAAAAATAATAAGCCAGTCGTGTGTAATGCAGAGAATACGCTTTTGGTAAAAAGTAAATGTTTTCTGAAACAGAAGATGTTTAGTAAGAAGATTGGCGTCATTTATATTTTTGCAAATGTCTTGAATGTTGTTTTAGTCAAATCCAGGGGCTAGGGCTATAGCTCAGTGGTAGAGCTTTGCCTAGCAAGCACAAAGCTCTGAGTTCAGTCCCCAGCCCCAAGAAAGAAAAGAAAGAAAGAAATCCAGATTCCCTGGGGGTGCCTGTCTTGATAGCCTTTCTTGATTGCTGAAGGCCACAGTGGACCCCACTGCAGTCATGACCAGCTGGGCGGTCAGCTAGGGTGCTTTGGTGAGGACTCGGGGTGTTCCTCAAACAGTAAATTAGACCAGTAAAAATGTATGCCACGCCGAGACTGTGTCCCACACATCCCTGCCTCTTGTTTCTACCCCGGCTCTTGTGGCTCACACACAAGCGGCCAGTGTCTCCTCGGTGGTGTCCCTGCACTGTGGGACCCAGGGGAGCTGATGCCCTGTTCCCCAACCCCCAGGAGCCTGAACGAGTTGCGTGTGCTGCTGCTGGAAGCCAACCGACACTCGCAGGGGTCTGAGCGCGACCTGAGCCGTGAAGTGCACAAGGCTGAGTGGCGGCTCAAGGAGCAGAAACTCAAGGATGATATACGGGGCCTGCGTGAGAAGCTGATGGGGCTGGTACGTGGTTGGGGCTGTGCAGCGTGCAGGGGAACTTCCCTATGGTGTGACCTGTTCATAACCGGCTGGGCCAACGATGCAGGGAAATAATCAACGGGAAACCACCAGCTCCACCTTCAAGGCCGTGACCCCGAGGAGTCACAGGCGTCTCCAGGGTGGTAGGTCCTGGATTTGGGGACTGGCCAAGGTGGAGCTGGGAAGTTAGGCACGGTCCTTTTATCTGTCTGGGTGAGGCAGGTGGGAGAGGGAGGCGTGCACAGGGACGCACAACAGATGCACTGACTCCCACCTCCCCCAGGACAAAGACAAAGACAAGGACAAGGGCCTGGAGCAGCGGCGCCACTCACTCTTTGACCCTGCGGCAGCGGCTCCGCAGGAGATGCTGCGGCTGCAGCGCCAGCTGGCGGGCACTGAGGACGCGCTGCGGGCGGCGCTGGAGCAGGCGCAGCGCGTGGAGGCGCTGGTGGAGGCGCTGCGGAGCGGCGGGGCACAGGTGAGCGCGCCGGGCCGCCTGGGTTGGGGTGTGCGCGTTCCTGGGTGCGGGATCCCACTGCGGGAGGCGGGGTGGACCCGCGGGGCGTGCTCGCCACCTAGTGGTCGCCTGTGGGACTGTGGCCTCGTGTAACCGCCTCAGCCCCTTTCCTCTGCACCTCGCAGACCGTGGGCAGCTCCGCCTCCCCCAACGGCATCCACCAGCAGGACAAGGCTCATAAGCAAGAGGTGAGGGTGCTCTGGGGAGGGAGGGGAGCAGGAGAACCTCGAAACATCGCTTAAAATGCACAAGAGCCAAGAAGAGTGCCAGTGCGCTCTTTGACCTTCTCAATCTTGTTTCTTTCCCCTGGTACACTGTAAAGCAATACATGCCTGTGAGGAAGCTTCTAGAAGCAATACAAATAAAACACCACCAGTAGCCCTTCTGCCCTGAGATGACCAAGATAGCTTCCCTGCCCCTGGGCCTTTGTACATGGTTCTCCCCCGCCCCCAGCTCCCCTCTTCCTACCCATCCCTCATGGCTGATGAGACCCTTGCTCTCCCAGGACAAGCACTGATCCCAGGGACACTGTGGAGCTGCCCTTCACACCAGAGCCCTGCCAGGCTGCGTGGCCGCGCCCCTTCCAGGCAGGGGCCGGAACTGTCACTTTGGAGACTGCTACAGTAACGGAACTGACCACCGCGGACAATCCCCCTTCCGGAGCCCTGCTGAGGCGTCCTCTACACAGCCTTCCTCCGCGTGGGGGGTGGTGCAGTGGCCTGGCCGGGGACGCGCTTATCCGGGACCACTCTGGGGTCTGCACCTGCTGCTGGCGGAGACTGGAACCAGCCGTGCCCATGATTGGCCAGGTGCCCTGAACCCTTCCTGTCCTCCCTTTCCAGGTCCCCTGTAGACCCCGGGGGGACCAGAGCAGAGCCCAGGGTCCCCTGCAGGCCACGGTGGGCCCCAGGCTGCTGTCCTGCTTGCTGAACCTCTATGCAGCAGTACGAGCTCCCCTCCGCCTGCGGCCGGGAGACGACCAGGCTCTAAGGTGTGAGGGGACCGTGACCTCTGTGGCCCACCATGACCCCCTTACACTGCTGCCATCGCTGGCCTGAGGGTGACAGGCAGGGTCGGAGCCCCAGGGTTGGCACTGCGGCCGGGACTGTGTCCCCAGGGCCAAGACTCAGGCTCAGGCCTTCCTGCTCCGGTCCCCAGCGTTCTTGCAGACTTGGAATGCGCCACGTGTTTGCCGATTATGGCGATTCCGGGGACGCTGACACACCCGCAGAGCTTGTACTGTGTCCTCAGCAGGGGAGCCCTGTAGGTGGCAGGGTTGAGCAGGCCGCACCCTGTGTCCCGGGCACCCTGCCCCTGGGTCCGAGTGGTGCAGGACTTGATGTCCATCCTCTGTGACTTGGAGGGGGCTCCTGGAATGCAGGGGACAGGTGTGCCCGGGCCACTGCTGTGAGTGCCACCAGGGGACTGGTGGTGTGGCCCCATTTTGTCAATCTGCCTCCCCGAGCCTGCAGCTAGCAGCTCTCGCATGTGGGTCTATTAACAGCATCCTAGAAATGTTGCTTTAGTGGCCTAATCTAGTCAGTGCTGCCCCTTCTGGGGCACTGAGGACAGCTCATAGCCCAAGGCCCCACAGCGGGGACCCCTCATAGGCGCCAGGGACACATGAAGCCATTTCCCCAGCAGCAGCATCTGCACCCCGCGTGCGCCTTCCCCATCCCAACCCTTTCCCTCCCCCCAGTGGAATTGTGGAAGTGTGGCGAGTCCGTGCTCGGGACAATAAAGCTTGTGACTGAGGTGCAGGACTCCTGCAGTTGGTGCTGCTCTCTGTAATGCTTTGGGCTTCCAAGGAACTTCTGTCCCATGTAATCTCTGCACCCCTGTAACCTCAGCTACTCGGGAAGCTGAGGCAGGAGGATTACATGTTCAAGGCCAGTCTGGGGAACTAAGCATGAACTTGTCTCAAAATCAAATCATTTCCAAAGGAGTTGTCTTTAAATCCACTGACCACTTTTACCTAATGAGAGATGAGAGCCTGAGAGGAATGAGCACTGAAGCCTGTGAGAGGATTCTCAGCAGAGAATCAGCGATGGGACAGATGGGTGCGGTGTTGCATGCCTGAAACCCCAGCACTTGGAAGATAGGCAGGCAGATTACAAGATTGAGCCCAGCCCGGGCAACTTAGTGACTTGTTGGGACCTTGTCTCAAAATTTACAAACAGAATGACTGTTAGAGGCAGGAGAGATGCCGAGGACACTTGGGCTTTGCACTTGAATCTGTTAGGGGTGCAGTTGGACCTTGGGGGAAATAAATTACCCTGATACAAAATGGGGCAGATCTGCTGGTACACAGTGGAGCTCATTGAAAACGTTTACATCTTCCGGAGTTGACTCCGGCTGCTACAGCGAGCCTGGCTCCCATGGGGCTCATGAACGGTAAAGGCTCAGCAGGCTGTGTGTGTTCCCAGTCTCAAGGCTGGCTGCCTGTGTAGGAGTCGGTACAAGGCTTGTTTTTTGTTTGTGCGATTTGAGACAGGATCTGTAAGTTGCCCAGGCTGGGCTCAAACTTGCAGTTATCCTATCTCAGCCTCCTGGCTAGCTGGGATTACACCTGTCACACAGAGGTCCTGGCAGCAGTGTGGCTTGCAAGGAGGGTGCCGAGGGGCAAATGCTGGCCTCTCCCCTAGCCTTCCTGATGCTCACCTCCAGAGGACACCATGCCAGGAGAGCCTGCAGGAGCCAGGAGTCAGCCCTACGTGGCCCAGGACAGTGGTCTGGAGCAGGTCCAGGTGAGGGTTGTCATTGCTGTCTCCATCATGAGCCATCAGCGAGGAAACTAAACCTGCAAACTGTCTGCTCTTTCAGGCTTAATTTTTACCAACCAGCACTTTGAAATCCAAAGATCTGCCAATAGGCGCGCCCCTGTAATCTCAGGTACTCGGGAAGCTGAGGCAGGAGGATTACATGTTTGAGGCCAGTCTGGGGAACGAGGCCTTGAACATGTCTCAAAATCAAATAATTTCCAAAGTTCTGCAGGTAGAGCTCAGTGGCAGAGCACTTTTCTAGTAGATACAGATGTTGAGTTTGACCCTCGAGTGTTTGTTTTGCTGGTGTTGGAGGAAGAGGAAGAGGAGCAGGTATGGTCTGGCAGGGACAGTGAAGGAGACCCCGGTAGCTTTGGGTGCATGCCAGAGCCTAGGGCTGGTTCAGGCAGCTGCTGAGGCTGGGGTGGGCAGAGGGCCTTCAGCCCAGGAAGCAGCTGCCCAAGTGCTCAGCTGCCCAGGCTGGGCACACAGGAAGTGCAGGCAGATATGGGTAGACAGGACGGGGCCTTGGGAGCTGAGGGCACGAGCTGTGCCCTCCAGAGGTGCCCTGGGGACCAAGTCCGGGCTCAGCACTGCTCCCCAGGGAGCTTAGGGTCTAGACACGCTCAGTCCAGCCAGGCAGCTGGCAGCTATGGGCTGAAGCACGCTGCCCCACTCCCCTTTCCTGCCTCCGTTTCTCATCTGAAACAGCAAGTCTGGCCTTGTGAGCCCTGCGTAGAAGGGCACATCGGTGAGCTCAACACTCTGGGAGGCTGAGGCAGGAGGATGGCAAATTTGAGCATAGTCCGGGCAGTTTAGCTCTAAAAGATCCTATTCCAAAAAGTAAAAAGGGCTGAGAATGCAGCTCAGTGGGAAGGCCCTGGGTTCAATCTCCGGTACAGCAGAACAAAGCAAACACCGGAACTCCAGCACTGGAAGCTGAAAGAGCCCGGGGGCTGCCCTTTCTGATCCGCAGGAGACTGCTGGCCTCTAGGACGGGCGGTCCCGTTCTCCTCGCTGGCTCCCCCTAGCGGCACAATCTTGCCTAACCAGCGGACAAGCGTCAGATGAGAACATGACCTCTGCATCCCGCTGTGTGGATTTCACTCGGATGCCGCTCTCTTGTCTATCCACAAACGTCTTTTTTGGTCCAGTTTCCCCTCTTTCCCATCCTTTCACGTTGGTCACCTCTAGTCCGTGACAGTTGGTGGCCACACCATTTCTCCGGTTCCCCATGAGGCTGAGCGGGGGTGGAAAGGACAGCTCAGAACGCGCGGAGTGCTGACCCAGGACGGGCCTCGGGTCAGCGTGTGACCAGGACCTCGGTACTGGGTTAAGTGACACGGGCCGGGTCTCGAGGCACAGGGAGGCTGAGGCATCTATAGTTTTTTTTTTTTAGGCACCTATAGTCTTTAAAATATTTTAAAGTTTTATTTTGAGACACAGTTCTCGTTGCCCAGGTTGAGTGGCAGCGTTTTGTTTTTGGGGCACTTCCTTACTTTTTGGCACGGTGGCCAGACTCATCTTGTGTGAGATGTGAGTAAACAATACAATGAATGTTTAAGCCAAAATTAATTATAGTGAAAGACACATTGCCTTGAACCCCCCTGTAGCTCTACGCTCCCCCCTCTCTGAGCACACGGACTCCCACAGTTCCTGCCGCTTTCTGAAGCAGGTGGGGAAGTGCTCTTTCAGGAGGGTCTTCACAATGTGTGACCACAAATACAGGCACTGCTGCAGCCCAGTGCCGTCCGATGGGAGGCAGGCTTGTAAAACCAGCACCGTGTCCTCCTCCACTCGATCGCTGGACCTAGCTGTGTGTGACTCAAAATGACCCTGAGAAGGAAATGTTCGAAATCGGTTCATGACAGTGAAACTACAGACCCTCACTAAAGATGACTTCAGAATTGCTTCAGAAAACAAGACTGAGTTCACTGGACGTGAGGGGGATATTCTGAGGGAGAATCCATGGCAATGTGTCCTTTCTATAAGTTTCTAGTTTAAATATTTATGTAGGTTTGATCACACCTCATATACTGCCTGCCCCAGCCTTGAGATGAGGCAATAAGACAGAAAGCTAAATTACAACCAAAGGGGATCCCCCCCCCCCCAAATCCATTTTATTTCAAAGAAAAAGGAGAAGGAGAAGAAGAAAAATCTAAAAATCTCAAAACACATCAATCGGGGGCAACAACGGTACATACATTGCACATTGCCATCCCCAAATCATTCACCCAGAGCATGACATATCTATAATTGTCTGAGCAATACCAGCACAAATTTTTCTCTTCACTGAGCTCAGAGAAATCAGTAGTATAACTATCTTAACTATTTTATATAGATCCACACACACATACATATGTTGTTACTTTCAGCTTCTTAAACTAGTGAGACAGTGTGGTGTTTACATATGCATCTTATTTATTTCACTAATGAGTACTGTCTCAAGTTGCATCCATTTAGCTATAAAAGTCTCCGCTTTATCCTTCTTTATGGCTGAGTGGTACTCCATTGTATAAAAATACCACATCTTTTTTGTCCATTCCTCAGTTGATGGGCATTTAGGTAGATTGTTTCCAAGATCTGGCTATTACAAACTGTGCTCATCTAAACATGGGTTCATATATGATGTTTTTGATTCTTTTGGGAAGATACCCAGAAGGAGAATAGCTGAGTCAAATGGGACCTCTAGTCCTAGTTTCCTGAGGAATCTATACACTGATTTCCACAGTGGGTTGTACCAGTCTGCATTCCCACCAATAGTGAAGGTTTCTTTTTTCCCCACAGCCCCTCCGACATTTGTTATTGGTTGATTTCTTGATAATAACCATTCTTTCTGGGGTGAGGTGGAATCTCAGTGTTGTTTTAATTTGCATCTCTTGAATGACCAGTCCCGTTGAACATTTTTAAATGCACTTTATTGCTGTTCATATTTGTTCATCTGAGAAGTATGTATTTCTCAGATGCCCATTTTTAACTCTGGGAGGACTGAGTTTTTTGAGTTCTTTATGTTTTTAATAGTAACCCTTGCCTTAGGTACAGCTGGCAAACATTTTCTCCCACATTGTAGGTTGTCTCTTCACTGTGTTGTTGGTTTCTTTTGCTGTGCAAGAGCTTTTCAGTAGGGTGAGAGTCCAGTTGTTGATTCTTTATGATAGTTCCTGTGCAGTTGGAGTTTTGTTCATAAAGTCTTTGCCTACTCCAATGTCTTGAAGAGTTTTATTTATTCTATCTTCCAGCAGATTTAATGTTTCTGTTGTAATATTAAGATCTTTTATCCATTCTGATTTTAGCTTGGTACATGGTGAAAGATATGGATCCAGTTTTAATCTTTGGCATGTGTAGAGCCATTTTTTCTGGCAGCATTTATAGAAAAGCCTCTCTTTCCTAGTGAATCTGTTTGGCACCTTTGTCAAAGGTAAGGTGGTTTAGTGTGTTTACAGTTGTTTCTGTATCTTCTAATCTGTTCCATTGATTTTTGAGGTTTTTTTCCTTTTTGCCAATGCCAAACTGTTTTTGTTACAGTAGCTTTGTAGTATAATTTCAAGTCAGGGATTGTGATGGCCCCTGTCTTGTCTTTGTTGCTCAAAATTGCCTTTGCTATTCTAGGTCTCTTCTGCTTCCAGATGAGTTTTATGACTTTTTTCTCTAATTCTGTGAGATACACTATTGGAATTTTTATTGGGATTGCATTGAATCTGTATAACAGTTTTGGAAGTATGGCCACTTTCACACTATTGGTTTTTCCTATGCAAAAGCACAGGCTATCTCTCCATTTTTTTTTTTTTTTTTGTACTGGGAATCGAACTCACGACTTCAAGTTTACCAAGCAGGCACTTATGCCGCTGAGCTAAACCCCTGGCCCCCTCTCCATTTTCTAATATCCCCTTCAATCTTCTTTTTCAGAGTATTGTAGTTTTCAATATAGAGGTCTGTTACATCCTTTGTTAGATTGATTCCTAGGTATTTCATTTTTTTGGATGCTACTGTGAAAGGTATTA